CATCCCGGCTGCCCTCCCAGTCCTGAAGGAGCAGACAAGGGTCTCCACCTTCAGGAGAGACAGAGTTCACTCACCAGCTGGGGGCTCTTTAGCAGGAAAGGCTGTCAGGAAAGAAAGAGGGAACATGAGGCCACATGGTGTTAGCTCAGTGAAGGGGAACCTCTTGTTCCGATTCTTATAAATTGGAGACATTTGGGGTTTGTCTGTCTCACAGCAGCATGTGAGGGCCAGAGCCCAGTGGGGTCCTCTTGAATTCAGCGGTTCACCAGCTCTGGAATAATGTGGAAGAACTGGGCGGTGGATCTGTCATCCACCTACCACGTGGCCTTGGACAAGTACAGGGGCCTCGTCTCCCCTGCTGCCCTGTGAGGCCAACCCCAGCTAGCTCATGGGGCTGCTCTGAGAACTGAAGGCTCCAACCGATAGGAATCTCCCAATAGGAATATCGGGCCTCTGCCCCCTCCCGCAGCCAGCCCACTCCTCTGTCTCCCCATTCTGGCCCTGGAGGTGGGCTCGGGGGGCCAATCCAGACTGTCCAGGGACTGAAGCCACATCCATGACAGCCACAGCAGTGAGGGAGGGGGCAGCTGGGCCTTGTGCAATGGGCAGCCCAGTGAGGGCAGGTTGTGCTGGGGGAGGAGGGGAACAGAGGCTCAGCTAGTGTGGCTGCTCCAACCTTGTCCTCAAGAGACTCACGTGTCCAACGGGATACTCTCTGCGGCCCTCCACAAATGGCTGTCCAGAAAGATAAAAAGAATCAGAAGCACTCAGGACCACTGCAAGCCCCAGAAGCCATTTATTGGGCTTTCACCTCTCCTGCCTGTGGCTGGGGGGAAGGCAGAGGCTGGCTTTGGCCTTTATAGCCCCTCATGCTTCCCATATGGCTCACCAGTGGTTCCTAAACCTGGCATTTTGAAGTATGTTCAAAATTCCCAGGCCCCACCTCAGACTTACTCAATCAGAATCTCTGTGGTGGGTCCCAGAAATCCATGTTTTTAATAAGCTCATCAGGAGGGAATGCCATAGCCAGCTGCAGCCTGTGTGGCTCCAATGTGCCAAGTCATCCACTTCCTGGCCACTGCTCCTCAGTTAACCAGACCCCACACCCAGTACAGACTCCTGCCCATGGCTCCTGGGCCCCCTTTCTGCTGTCACCTTCTCTTCCCCTCGCCCCAAGCACATCTGCCGGCTCTGTGGATTCCCTCCCCTTGGCTGTAACTCATGGGCAGGGCTTTCTCTGTATCTTGATCTGGGTTGGGGAAGGGGTCACAGGCCTGTCCAGGCATCAGAGGATGTCAGAGGACACCACTGCCAGCCCTTGGCCTCAAGGGAACATACGTTGATGTTCAAGAATCCAACAGCTTTCACCACGATGTCACCAAATATGCTGAGGGTGTCCACACGAGCCAGTGGGAGCCGGTAGCGGTAACAGAGAAAGTGTTGTCCATTCACACTCACCTGGAGACAGACAGAGGCTGGCTTTACAGCAGCCAGAGTTCACTGAGCTCATAACAATGTCCCTGGCATTGTAAGCACTTCCAACTGGATTTTTCCTCATTTACCTTTACACCAACTCTACGGGGCAGGTACATTTTACAGATGAGGTGCCCAGGACATGAGGAGCTCGAGTAACCTTCTCAAGGTTGCAGAGCTGACCTTGGGACAAAGGCAACTTCAATGTCCCTTTCTGCCCTTGACAAAGCACTTCCCCATGGCCCCTCACTTTGCCCTCTCAGCAGATCTGGAGCGCCATCATCATCCCTGTCTACAGGTGAGGAAACTGAGGCTGTGTGATAACCCATACCCTGCAAGTCACTTCCTCCCACCAGCTGCCTTGTGCCCTAGAGAAGTCAGAAGATCCCGCCATCTTTCTGGTGGGAGTTCCCATCAGAGGTCAAAGGCTTGAGGTCAAGTTCTCTCTCTCTGTCCCCTGCCCCCTCAGCTGCAGGATGGGGATACCAGAAGTACCTGCCTCATGGCATTGTTGTGAGGTTCAATGAGCTGATTCAAAGGGCTTAGATATTTAAGGGGCTTAGAACAGTGCCCAGCATATAGCAGGTGCTCTCTAAGTGCTAACTGTGACTATGGCAGTGGCAGCATCTCCGGAGCCAGGTGCCATAGAGCTTTCTTGCCACCATGTGGGCCCAGGGCAGCATGGAACTGGGCGTGGCAGCTCCTTGGTCCTCTCAGGACCCTCCCCCTCCCTCAATGCCACTCAACACACTGTCATGGGAAATTAGGCCGAGGGAAGGAAGGGTGAAAGGACACAAGTTACAGACCGCTGATGCCCGTCTCTTCCACTCACCTTCACCTCCTCACCCCCAAAGAGAAAGAGGATGAGGAAGCTAGCCCCTCTCTGCAGGGCCAGGCTGGGCCACCGGGCCTCCTTTTGCCAGTGTTCATCGTGCAGGGTGTTGCAGATGACGTGGGGCTCGGTGGTGTGGAAGCGAGGGTTGAAGTGGATGGCGATATCTGGCCGGGGACACAGGCTGCAGCCGCACTGGAAGTCCACCTGAAACCTGCTGGGAGGTGAGCCTCTCGGAGTGCGATTCTGGTCAGGGACCCACAGAGACCCTAAAGACAGAGGAGACCCCAAAGGCAGAGAGGACCCCCAGCTCGATGCCTCTGGGGCTGAGCTCAGCACCCCCACAGGCCACCCCCTTACCTGCGTGCACCTAGAGGGACCATGCCCTGCAGCATGACCATCTTGCCTGCGTGCAGGCCGCCGAAAATTGTCGTGACATAAGGAACCACCTGAACATGGAGAGAAACCCATCCATGCAGGGCTGGAGAAAGAGCCCAGGGACCCTTAAATCAGGGCAGTGGGGAGAGAAGAACAGGAAAACTCAACTCTCAAACAGAAGATGTCCTTATCGGGAAAAATCAGAAAATGTCCTTTTCGGGAAAAATCAGTTTTCTCTGAAATACTCTCTTCCAACTGCTCCCCTTTCTTGGACCTTCAAAGCCACATTGCACTGGGGAAGCCACATTCATCTCCACTGTCCCCTTGGAGTGCCAGCCAGCCCCTCTCCCCAGCTGCTAGGGCACATCCCCCTAGGGGGGACATCTTGCCATTCACTGGATGCCACCTGGCCCCCAGAAGCCTGGTATTGAGATTTCCTGAGGACTGTTTAATGGCCAGAGCCTGCTGGCCAGAGTCTGGGAACTGGGAGGCAAGAAGAATGGACAAGTTGGGAACTGAGAGCTGACCCTGATATGGATTCCTGGAGAGATACCCAACAGTGGCCTGGCTCCCTTCCCAGGCTCATCTTTTCCCATAGGGAGGCTGCCCGGCCTTCCTAAAACACACCACGCACTTTTACAACTCCGCACCTTTTCTGGGGCTGTTGCTCTGCTCTCCCTCCACCCCGATGGCTTCTCCAAGCATCGTCCACTTGGTGCCTGAATTATTCCTTCCCTCCCCTGAGCTCCCAGAGCATTCCGCTCACATGGCTAGCGCGGCCCCCGGCCGCTGGCTCAGAGGTGCTGACTGTTTTCCCTGGGAGGCTACAAGTCCCTCCAAGCTGAAGCCTTGTCTTTCCCTTCTGTTGGCTCAGGGCCCGGCCTGGCACAGCGGGGGCTCTGCATAGATGTTTGTGGAACAAGTCTGCACAGTACAGCAGGTACACATTGGGCAGTATCACAAGACTGACCTTCCTGTGATTGGCTCTCCAGCTCCCAGCAGCCTTCAGAAGCCCAAACTACCTAGACAGTGCCAAGTCCCACCCGGTGGAGTTCCCAGACTGCAAAGCAAGGAGCCGTTGTAACCTGAGCAGCTTCTTCACCCCACTGCTCGGGAACCTGAGGAGGTACGGGAGTCCCCGGATCCCACGTGTCAGAGCCCAGAGTGCCCCAGCTTAGCTGCTTAGCTGCTTAGCCAGGTCAGCAGTTCAGTTGCTTCCACTTGCCAGGCTCCTGCTGGCCCTGTAATTAACTGAGTTGATGCAGCTCTCATGGGAGGGGAGGCCAATTAAGAGAAGCTGATAATTAGTGCTCATTAGCTGGCGGGATCTGCTGGGAGTTCAGCCTTCTGCAAAACATTGCCAGGCTTCAGAAAATCTCCTGGGCATTGAGCAGGAGGAGGAAGAGAGGAACTCCCCACCCCATGCCTGAGTTGGAGGTTCGAACCTGACCCTGCCTTCTAGGCTGCAAATGAGACTGCCCTTGCCAGGTGATCAGCGTCTCCCTCAATGATCCTATCTACTTCCCCCATCCTCCCAGCCTCTCATCACAGTATGGGCACTGCTCTGCCTCTCCAGGCTTTACTTGCTGCAAATGAGACTGCCCTTGCCAGGTGATCAGCGTCTCCCTCAATGATCCTATCTACTCCCCCCATCCTCCCAGCCTCTCATCACAGTATGGGCACTGCTCTGCCTCTCCAGGCTTTACTTTTAGAATGCAAGGACCCTGGGAGCCCAGCAGTCATTCACACCCACGTGGGGATGAGCAGGTCAGCCACTTTGCTAAACTCAGGAGGGCCTTCCAGAACCCAGAGCAGGTGCTAGGGGAGGGAGGACCCAAGACTGAGGCCTTTTCCAACCCACCACGTGGGAGTCTGGGTCCAGGTGGAAGTGAGGAGTCCTGAGACCAAAAAGGTTCCAGATTAGAGCGGCTCACCGGGTGGAAGACCGGGGGCTGCAGGATGAAGCTGTCAGGAATCGGGTCCAGTTTTTCTTCAGGTGACATGGGGGTGAGACAACTCCAACTCGGGCTGCAGATCCTGATTTCAGGAGCCCTGCCCCCACTGGACAGACTCACCTTCCGCAGCCAGGGTCCTAAATGTCTAGGGCAGCTTTCCCAGCTGTTAGTCTCGCCTGCGCACGGCAGGGTCCTAATGGCGCTTGCAGCAGGCCGAGGAAGGCAGGTCTGGGAGGGAGAGGTCCACCTCCCAGGCCCCAGCGGAGCCCCAGTGGCCCAGCAGAGCTGGCAGCCCTGGCTGGACTGGGCTGTCAGCAGAAACTCTGTGTCCAGGGGTGAGAAGCTGGCACTAACCCACCAACTAACTAGCGCCTCTGGGTCTGAAGTACAGGGCCATTGTAGAGGGAAGCCAGAGGCTGGCTCCTTGGGGTTAGCAATAGTTCGTGGTTTCTGAAGCTCCTGTGAGCCCTCCCTGGGTCAGAGGAAGGGGTGGCAGGTATGCGTGTGCTGGTTCCAGCTTCCTGGAAGCCTTGGGTGGCTTCCCATTCCCCCTCCCTCCTGCCCTCATTTCCCTACCCCTTTCCCCACTCTTCTTCCTTTTCCAAGTTTACAGTCCCTTGAGGCTTCATTTCAGCATCAGCTGGAAGTGCCAGGGCCCAGCTGGGCTCACAAGAGTGGAGTGAGACAAGGGACAGGGAAAAGAGGCCCCCTTAGGCTCAGAAAGGGTGGCGTAGTGCAGTGAGGGGCACACAGCTGCACGGAAGGAGATTCTCTGCTCTAACGTGCTGTGTGCCCTTGGACAAGTCACCTCACCTCTCTGGGCCTCTCTTTGTTCATCTGTATGTTGAGAGGGCGACTACTGCAGCACGTCTTGCATGGGGGGTGATCACAGCAGCATGTCTTGCAGCATGTCCTTCAGTGTCTGAGGGTGGTCCTAGACATCCATGTTTTACTAGAGTCCTTCCAGTTCTGGTTCAAATTCCAATAAGGCTTTCCCTTTAAAAAGTAGCACAACTTCTCAACTTTATTCTGAGTTGGGAGGTCCCAGGATCTGACCTTAGAGTCAGACTTGGCAGCAGGGATTCCTGGCAGGACCAGGCCCGGCAAAGGGTCAAGTGCATTGGGTGCTGAGGGAAGGGTTAGCAGCTCCTTGAATGAGGGGAGAGTGCATGCAGGGTCCTGGGATGAGGTCTCTCAGTGCTACTCAAGCTGTGGTTCAAAGGTCAGTATTACCTGGAAACTTGTTAGAAATGCAGATTTGGGGGCTCCACCCCAGACCTACTGAGGAATACACTGTGGGGGTGGGGCCCAGGGATGTACATTACAACATGCCTGCCAGGTGGTTGTGATGCATGTTTGTGTTTGAGAAGTGCTGACTTAGGTCATAACTGAAAGGGCTTTGGGTCCCCAGCCAAGGAGTTTGTTCAGATCTTGCTGGGTTGATGGAGCTGGGTTGTTGAAGGTGCTGTGTGGGGAAATTTGATCAGAGGTGTAGTTAGGAAGACAATCTATACGTACCTTGGAGGAGAAACCAAAGGTGAAGAGACCAGCTAGGGGGGAACATGAAGCCTCGCACTGGAATCACATGTGAGTCCTGGTCCCAGCCCATCAGCAGATCCTGTGGCCTGAGGCCAGGGGTGCCCATCCCCCATCCAGCCACAGTTTCTTCCACTGTGAAACGAGGAGGGAGGATGTATTAGTTTGCTTAGGTTGCCATAACAAAATACCACAGAACTGGGTGACTTAAAAGAAATCTATTTCCTCTCTGTCCTAGAGGCCAGAAGCCCAAGATCAAGGTGTCAGCAGGTTTGGTTTCTTCTGAGGCCTCTCTCCTTGGCTTGCAGACGGCACCCTCTTGCTATGTCCTCACATGGCCCCCCTCCCCCTCTGTGCCTGTGTCCTATTCTGTTCTTATAAGGACACCAGTCATATTGGCTTAGGGCCCATCCATATAGCCTTATTTTACCTTGATTACCTCTTTGAAGTCCCTGTCTCCAAATAAAGTCACATTCTAAAGTACTGGGGGCTAGGACTTCCACAGGCTTTTTGGAGGGACTCAGCTGAGCCCATAACATAGGATCAGCTCTAATGCTCCCTTCCTGAAACCCCAAAGCTATTGCCACTGTTGGGGGTGGGGCTGCTGAGGCCAGCAGTGGAGGAGGTGGTGGAGGAGGGAGGTTGGCACTTTTCCTTTCTCTTTTCAGTTGACCCTGATTTTGACAGCTGGGAGGGACCTGATCGGGATTAAAACGCAGAACTTATCCCTGCTCCAGAATAAGAGACGGCCTTAGAGTCTGTGGGTCTGTGTAGGGGGAGGGCAAATTCCTCTTCCTGAGCTAGAGTGAGGGAGAACTTGCATGAGAGGTCCAGAAAAGGGCTGATGACCCCAATGGCCCAGGGTAACCCTGACACTGGCAGGGGACATCTGCCCCCTCTCCCGAAACTGGCACCCCTCCCCCCACCATCACCCCGGTTCCCTACACTCTGTGCTTTCCTGTTAGAGCCCTTGCTATCACTCGTCATTGTTTATTTGAAGAACTGTTTAATGCTGTCTCCCTGTCCTCCCTACTCCCCACCTACAAGTTTCATGAGGGCAGATTTATTCTTCTACCCTCAGTACCAAGCAAAGTGCCTGACACAGCTCAAACCGTATATTTACAGAAGAAATGAACGTAACCAGTGAAGGTTTACAGCTCTTGCCTTCCCTCTTCTCCTGTGGCCCAATCAGACTAGTTCCATGCTCTTCTGCTGAGCCACAGATTATAACTGGGGCACTTTTACCAGCTAATGGCCAGGGAAACATAATCCGTGGTCAGGGATCTGGCAGTGCCCACTCCCCCCCGTTCTTCAGTCCAGCAGCCTCTTTCACAATCCCTTCTCCTGCATGGGTGGAACTCTCTGGGCCTTGGGGGGACTAATGCATATAGTAACCCACTTTGGTCTACGTCTCTACCTCTCTCTTCTATCTGATTGCCTCCTAGGTCACTGGAAACTCTCCATGGATTCTGCCTCTCCTGAGGCTGGTTTTACATCATCCTTGAACAGAAGGTGGTATAATTAGGGAAAATACTAGGCAAGAAGAATTGACAGAACTTGATGGATAAGGGAGCCAAGAGAAAAAACAAAAGTGACTCCAGCACCTTGAACCCGAAGGCTGGGAAGGTTCTGGTGGCATTAACAAAAAGTAGGGGAGCTGTGGGTATGATCCAGGGGGTTGGCAAGCTGCTAATTTTCCAGTCAGGACCACTTTGGGGGCAGATGAAAGGCTGGGAAGGTTCTGGTGGCATTAACAAAAAGTAGGGGAGCTGTGAGTATGATCCAGGGGGTTGGCAAGCTGCTAATTTTCCAGTCAGGACCACTTTGGGGGCAGATGGGGTGAGTACAGGAATCAGTCCGGCTGGAGCTTGGACACAGGGAATGTTCAATCAGCATTTGTTGAAGGAATGAAGGCGCTGTTGCCTGAAATCATGTCAACACGTTCTTGAGAAGACGGTTTTAATTTATCTTGGTGCTACCATGCCCCACAAGGGGGTTTTAGTAGCCACAGCCATTTTTCATAAGCGGTGGTTCAAAGGAGCAAAAACCAATACTGCTCCTGAGCAGCTTCCAGTCAAACTGGAGAGAGAAGGCGTACACTTAGGAGAACCAGAAGACAAAGCCCTCGCTTTTTACTTACCTCTTTTCCAAAGAGATAGAATGTCACTATCCTCTCAGTGATGGAGACGCAAGGATTACTCAAAGCCCAAATACTTGAAAGCAATGAGAGGCCCAGAGGGACTGCACCAAGCTACTCCCACAGGGAAGGAGAGAGTCAGTGCAGCCCCAAGCTCAGGCCTGTCTCACCTTTCATTGTGGTATCAAGACCTTGGCCGTGTGACAAGCTGAGTACAGTATCAAAAGAAGTACAGAAAGGAGTGTGTGAACAGGACAGAAGACGATTCCAGTGTTCCCTGCTAATGAATCAGAACGTCCTCACTGTTTCCAGCGTGTGCTGTTTTCAGCACGTAATGTTTCGATTCTGTGCACTTAAGGCTTTTTCCCTTTGTGCACGCCCTGTACTAAACAGGCCCCTGTGTTCCCACAATAGAACTGTTTTGACACATACTGTGAAACAGGGAAAAGAACAAGCCTCCCCCATGACCTCACTAGGCTAATGTAATACTTCTCATGACTTTGATATATGTCCTATCAATGCCCCCCCGCACCCCAATATGGATAGTAGGGTTATTGGGGAATCTCAACTCAGAGCCTGCAGCAGCTTGATCTTTTTTCTAACCACTGCTCTTGATCATATCTGTTGAATGTCTCTTCCCTGCTAGGCTGCAGACCCCATCATATCTCAGTTGAATCCCATAACATTCCAATCACTGCTGGTTCCTGGAACTCAGTCCAGCTTAGCACTGGTCATCAGAGGTTGCTGACATCATGGAAAGAAAGAGAAGCAGACATATGTGCCTCCTGACCGAAGAGCACATTGTCATTAGTAAAATCCTAAAAAAAAAACCCCAAAAAACAAAAAAAACTAACCTGAATTTGAGTCTCTAGATTTAACTACCAGTTTATGGAGAATATAGGGGGGAAATGACCATGTTGAAAAACAGCAGCAGGGCCGGCCCGGTGGTGCACTGCTATAGTGCGCCGCTTGGGAGCGTGGTGGCGCTCCCGCCGAGGGTTCGGATCCCACATACAGACCAGTTCCCGCTCACTGGCTGAGCGAGGTGTGGGAGCAATGCCGAGGGTTGCGATCCCATTGCCGGTCCCGGTCCGGTATGGGGGCGACAGTGAGGGTTGCGGTCTGTTGCCGGACACGAAAAAAAAAAAAAAAGGAAAAAAAGAAAAAGAAAAACAGCAGCAAAATACAGACCATGGGAGACTTTCCAGGACAAATGATCCAGTCTCTTCAATTAAAAAATTACAAGGAAAAACAAGGTGGAGGAGAAACCTAGAGATTAGAGGTTGGTAAACTTTTTTGTGTGAAGAGCCAGACAGTAAATATTTTAGGCTTTGAAGGCCATCTCATCTCTGTGGCAAATACTCAACACTGCCCTTTGTAGTGTAGAAGTTGTCATAGACGATATGTAAATCAAAGGTGTGGCTATGTT